AGCATGTTTCTTGCTGGTACAAGGCGTTGGGCTCGACGGATAACGGGGAGCATGTTCCTTGCTGTTACTCGGCTTTGGGCTCGACGAACAACGGGGAGCATGTTCCTTGCTGTTACTCGGCTTTGGGCTCGACGAACAACGGGGAGCATGTTCCTTGCTGTTACTCGGCTTTGGGCTCGACGAACAACGGGGAGCATGTTCCTTGCTGTTACTCGGCTTTGGGCTCGACGAACAACGGGGAGCATGTTCCTTGCTGTTACTCGGCTTTGGGCTTGACGAACAACGGGGAGCATGTTCCTTGCTGTTACTCGGCTTTGGGCTCGACGAACAACGGGGAGCATGTTCCTTGCTGTTACTCGGCTTTGGGCTCGACGAACAACGGGGAGCATGTTCCCTGCTGTTACTCGGCTTTGGGCTTGACGAACAACGGGGAGCATGTTCCTTGCTAGTACTCGGCTTTGGGTTCGACGAACAACGGGGAGCATGTTCCTTGCTGTTACTTGGCTTTGGGCTCGTCGAACAACGAGGAGCATGTTCCTTGCTGTTACTAGGCTTTGGGCTTGACGAACAACGGGGAGCATGTTCCTTGCTAGTACTCGGCTTTGGGCTTGACGAACAACGGGGAGCATGTTCCTTGCTGGTACTCGGGTTTGGACTTAATGGAGGAGCGGCATGTTGCTTCTTATCAGAACGATCTATAGAATCTATAGAATCAGAAAGTTAGATGAACTTAACTTTGTGGTTGAAGGTGACGAGCTTGAAGACGAAAAGCTTGAAGAGGAAGAGCTTGAAGACGTCGATGAATTCCGGGTCCTAAAATTCTTGGCAAGTGTTTCATCTTCGAAGGTATCATTTTCAGTATTTATTTCTACATCTATAGCATTGCAGGTCAGCTGAAAATAAAACAAGATTGTTAATGAAGAATTTACCGGAATGTAATTGAATTTATTTATGTACAGACAACAGCACGTTGGGTGATCACAAACTGTGAATTTTTTTGATTGATCTCACCTTGTTGTCTATCTCATAAAGCTCAATATCTATTAAGGAATTTTGACAGTTTGTAGTAACCCAACGTGCTGTTGTCTGTACACTTCTTATTATTATTTAGGTAAGTTCAAGTACCTATAAAAATTTATAGATTTTTATAGTTAATTGAACTGTAATCTTCATCTTAGCGTGTAATTCCTTGATTCATTAATTGATTTTAAATCAGTTAAATTTGCATTTACCTCTCGTTTATCACTATTAGGTCTATTTCGTTTTAGTGATTCAATTGTATTTCCATCATTATCTGCAACATTCACCTTAGAAGAAATATTCTCTTTGTTATAGCTAATAATTTCCTGAAATCACGAAATGAATTAGAATTTCGACTACATACACAGTAGGGATTATACAGAGTAAAAACTATAAAATGATACCTATTTGATACGGTAAGTTATGGAAAACATGCACAAAATTTAGGCAGCCACTACAGTTGGCTCGTAAGATACACCATTACGTAGTAAATTGACCGTGTATAAGATGAATCATACAAAATGTGTTACCTCTTCCTCTTTTTTGTGCTCTAACATCTTTAAAATCAGATCCGCTCTTCGTTTCATTTTGGACTTGTAAATATTTTTCTGTCACTAAAAGTAAGAAAAAACTTATTAATGAAATGGTCAATCAATTGTGTACTTAAATTATTAATGAAAAGACCCACACATAAATACGTCAAAACAAAATACAATTCATCAATCAAGTACAGGCCTAACACATAATTCGACTAAAAACTCCAGCTATGGGTTAATCAAGGACTGCCTTATTAGCTTTTAAGACACGTAAAATAAAAAGATTCTAATCGTAAACCGACTCAATTCAAAAAAAGGTCACTTTAATAGTAACAGCTACTATAAAGGTCTTACCTCAGTTTGAGTCCTAAAGTGACCCAATGCGCATTGGGTCACTAAAATATTAACACGACGCACGTCCACCCGTTAGCACTCCCGGCGAATCACTGATTGCGTCACTTTTATACTGACAGGGGTTGCGCGGGGCGCAGAAATGAAAGAGACGCAAATAAAAAATGAAGCTTAAGCAGCGGGAATAAGGTAGTTTTTGAATTTGTAGGTTGTAGAGCATGTCTCTTAAGGTCTGTTTATGTATAAAACTCAATTTCCCAAAATTTTGGATTGGGTCACTTTCGTTCTCAGCGTGCGAATTATTTGCTACCTTCAGTTTTCTTTTTTAAACTACCGCGACTATTATCGTACACTATACTCTTGTTAAACTATTTGTTCCAATAAATAAAAATTATGGAAACCACTTAACCGATCATGGTCAGGTTTTGCATACTGTGCGTTTGGTTAAGATTTTTGGACATAGCTTTCATCTTACATTATTAACTTACCGACACTAATTATTTTGTAAGTTACAATCAGTATATGTACGAAATCTAGTTTGGGCGGCGCACATGGCCTCCAATAAAATCATCATTGGACTTAACGTCTTCAGGCCCTCATGTTCCACCTGATTTAGTCTCCGGGTTTCCCCTTTATTCATTGTGGCCATTAGCTACTTCTATATTAATATTATATAGAGCAAAGGTTTCTTTGCATTGAATAGGCTCCGAAACCAATTTTAAAAATTCTTTCAACCACGTGAAGCATCATAGGAGATACTAAACTTTTTAGACAACATCACACATTGCTGAGGTTGCAAAATGAGTAGCTTAAAGCCTCGGATTATTGAGTATCTAAGACAACGAGGGTACTAAGGACCCGAGACAATTTAGAAAAGTTAATTACATTGACCTATTATAGGGAAACTAACCTCCTAGATGGCGAGTTCTTAAAACCAGCGAACGAACCACTCGGTTGCGGGATATAAATAAAATATAATGTATTTAAAACATTTTATTGATTTAAATTCAGCTTCAAAATGTAGTTTTACATTATATTTTACATGATTAGAAACACGAGTATTTGTCACATGTTGAGCGAAATCACTCGAATAATCATTTTTCTTTAGGACACGGTCAACTCTGTATTTATTTCAAGTTAAAACATCCATGTACATATTTATATTAACAATTGATTCCATAACAACTACAAATAAATTAAGACTGACATTTAAAACAATAAACGCTCATTTCAGAAAAGACATTTTATAAAATTTTCATAATACAAATTCTTTTTGAAATACCAAGATATATTGAGTGTCTTGTTGATAAAATATATAAATATAGGAAAACAATGTAATTTATAAATTTATTTAAACAATTCTATTTATACCTATAAGTATATTTATAGTCAGAATCGTATTTGTATTCCTAAAAATTACGTAGATATAAAACATCAATATTCTACATTAGTATTTAACTTTCAAGTTCGTACATCAAAAAATGTCTTAATTAACAGTAGATACTAGTTTATTTAAACTTTTGACACATACCTTTCATATTTGGCCTGAAAACAGAAATACATATTTACAAAACTTCAAAAGTAATAAAAAAAACTACAACATACTTTAAATAGTATTTATCAATATTTACTTTCACAACATGTTTTGTCTATGGGATAAGATATGAATTATTTTATTTACATTATTGTGTTTGAAAATCGAACGGGCATTGTTTTTTTCACAGCACTGGCACGTAGAAATCTAGTACGCGTCTTGGTGCTCAGTTTGTCTTTACACATCACTGGGCGGCGAGGCCGGATCCGGACGCTAGTGTAGCTGACTTTTGGTACTGAATCCATAGTGCAAGTATGGGGACCCGGCGCCCTCACGGGGCCCTCCCGCCCCTCCCCCGTTGCCCGCACCACTTGGGCATTTAAGAGCAGAACGCAACTCCGAAGCCATTTCGGAGCAAAGAGAGGCCTGGATGGAAAAACGCTGATAATAGCTCATTCGAGTGCGGGATGTGTCCGCAAAGACTAGCGGCCTGTTTCTGATTTGAGAAAAGTACAAATTCTCAACTAAAATTTCTCAATAACTTAAGTTTTGGCTTAAAGTCATCGTTTTATCAAACTGCTATCTGTCTGCGAAAATCTGTTTAAGTGAAGTTTACGTTCGAGACGTGCTTAGTTTTAAATTCTCAATTCAGAAACCGAATCTTGTTTAGAAGCATCTTGTGTTCTTCTAAAATTTTTCAAAGATTACAAACTTTTGTGAAATAACATTATGATCAATAAAAGGTATTTTATGTGCATCAGCATGTCAGATTATACGATCAAATCACTGAAGTTGATTTTAAAGCTTATTACGCTACTAGAAGAGTTCGAAATTAAGCGCGGAGATGTGCTGCTGTAACTTTATAAGTTTCATTTTAAATACATACCTCTTCCTTCTGTGATTAGGTAAGTTAGCGTGAATAACAAAAAAGATCTATTAGTAATCGATACAAATTAGGTAATCTACCTAAAAACACTCAAAAAGGTACTAAATTACCTATTCTAGCGACAACTTTCTAAAAAAGTGAAATGTTTATTACCTCTTCAAAAATAAATCTAGAACAAAATGAAAATAAAATGTTAATAAAACTGAAATTTGATAAACAAAGACGGCGAAATAATAAGAATTTTGTTATATCAATGAAGCTGCCTGAGATGAAATCCCGATCCAAACCATATTTTAATTATATTTTATTTATCTGTAAATTATTCAAAGATATTACATTTTTCATTCTTAAATATGGATTTAAATAGCTCAGCTTCTATTTGAATTGCTGTTACTCTTTGCCGAATTAAGTAACATCTACGTAATCTCCACCTTTCAAGACAGCTTTATTCTACAAATAGGTCCATGTATAATGTATTCACTAAATATAATTTCAATTTTAAGGATATCCTATTATTTTAATGTATTTAAAATGTTCATTAACGGTTTACGAGAAAACGACTCGATAAACTGAAGTATTCGAAGTACTCGAATACTTCAGTGTTAATTGAAATCCGAAGCGATTATTATTTCTAAGAAATAAAGTTTACTATGTTTTCTACCTTTCAATAAGTCTAGTATTTAATAAACATAAGAGCTCCACTCACCCTTTCGTCGACGGCTACTTTACGCGACTTCCAAACGAATTCACAGACGGCGATGACGCACGCCACTCCCATTCCTCCCATGAGAACTACGAATACGCCGCCCACGTTAGCGAGACCCAGTTCGTTCGCGGTCGATGACGACTTCGAAGTGTCGTCCTGGTAAAATAAACAATTGCTTTATCAAGTTATGAGCAAATTTTAACAAAAAAATATCACATTTGTTTTATGGGAGCTCCCCTTGAATATTTGTTTAATTTCATTATTTATCTATAAAGTTACTATATAAATAAATATTTTGAAATTTTTCAAGCGTATTAAATCCGAAGCGTCGTTATTAATATAAAGCAAAAACAAACAAAAAAATCACGTTTGTTGTATGGGAGCCTCCTGAAATATATATTTTATTCTCGCTTTTAGTATTTGTTGTTGACGCGGCAGCAGAAATACATCATCTGTGGAAATTTCAACTGTGTAAATTTCATGCTTCATGAGATTCAGCCTAGTAACAGATAGACAGAGCAGTCTTAGTAATAGGGTTCCCGTTTTACCCTTTTAATCGTCTTATTTTTAATTACAATTTATTTTTAAATCATTTCTTTGTAAAAAAACCAGTTGAATGTTGATAGTAATTTTGGGTGTAGGCGCCATTTTAAGATCGAAGTAATTCATTGAAATGTCGAAATTATGTCTTAATTACTGTTTTTTATTACACAGAATTATTAATTAATATTGTTTTCGTTTTTATTAAACAATCCTTAAGCATATAAAAAATAACTAACTAAATATTATTTTTTTTCATCAATTTTGCATTTACAATGCTATACTAAAAAACATTGTTAATGAAAAATATTTAATTAATCTACCTTTACCCCCGGCATTCTGAGATGGGACTCAAACCCATGACCTTTCGCAATTCAGGCGACTGCTCTAACCACTGAACTACTCAGAACCTAACAGCACTTGTTACTTTTTTTTATACTTTTTATTTATATTAGTAAAATTATTTATATCTGGATATTATATACATATAAAACACGTCCGAAGTTTAATTCTATAGATATTCTGTTACATTAGCTAAATTAAACCAAAATGTATAATAATCCACAATGGTATAATATTGCGCTCATATTCGTCACATATTACAAGAATAAAGGCGAAATATGATATAGTTAAAAAATTAAGATTGGTCTGTATAGCTAAAATCCATAGTTAAGCAAGTTTGTGTAAACGATAATATTAGGTATCTTTTTCTATTACATATATACGCAAAATCCCTTAGAAAAAGAACACCCAACATGTTTAGTAATAGAAAACATTGCCTGCATGTACTTTAATAACTTCCGTTGTACCATTATTTAAGCATATCTAGTGTTTTCGGTGGCGTAGTCGATAAGCGCCGCGGCCCGCGATCGTAGTCGTTAAGCAACTTTCGCAAGGGTCGGTCACAGGATGGGTAACCAAAAAATTATTATCTCGAGCTACTCCGTGCTTCGGAAGGCACGTTAAGCCGTTGGTCCCGGCTGCATTTGCAGTCGTTAATACCCTCCAATCCGCATTGGGCCAGCGTGGAGGGTCATGGCCCATCTTTCTTAACCATCCATAAGGAAGGCCTGAGCCCCTGCAGTGGGGACGTAAAAGGGCTGGTGATGTGAAGTGAAAGTGTTTTCTGAAGTAGGTTAATAAAAACAAACTTCAAAAACAAAGGTATTAAGATAAACGAAACGGAGTAGCTTGTATCAAAGCGACAGTTTATCGGAATCATGACTCGTGACAATTTCAGGCTGGAATCTTTATACATTAAAGTGTTACCATTGATATGTGAATACGGATTTCACCTTTGTTTTCTCAGATGAAATATGTTTGGGACACGTCGATATATTGTTTTATGATACATTTTTGTCTTCTTCTTTTCACAGATTATTTTATCTTTTGTCGTTGTTATGTTAGAGGTCCGTTTTGTTTTTATCGGCAAAAATGACATTGACATGAAAATAAATATACGTTCGACAACTGGCATATTTTTGTTTAAGGAAAAATAGACTGGTTTAATAAAGATTATAAACTGGTTTTTTGAAAATTACTGTTCGACTAGCTTTCCGCCAGTGGCTTCGCCCGCGTGGTCTTGTATTATACATAAAAACCTTCCTTTTGAATCAGCCTATCTATGAAAAAAAAACCGCATCAAAATCCGTTGCGTGGTTTTAAAGTTAAAGGATATATAGGGATATAGGGATAGAGAATGCGACTTTGTTTTATATTTCGTAGGGATGTGGAATTGTGTCGCGAGTTAATGCTTACGAAATGCTATAATCAACAACTAGGATTAATCTGGTAAGTACAAAAAAAAGATTTCGTATGCTTTAGGACCCATTTTTTCAATAACCTACGAGTGTTTGATATACAGATATTTGTGAGCGACATCAAATGTTTAGTTTCCGTTTTTTATTAAAACCGAAATAATTTATATACAATATAACTGAAATCCAAATGGAAACGCTTTCAACAAGGTTTTTATTGATATCAAACAGAATTCCGAATTATAGTTTAAAGATATAAAAGTAATAGGAAAGATAGAGGAACCATTGTATTATTTTACCGTAAAAATAAAATTGTAAATATTCGAGAAAGCTATCCAAGATGGTTATATCCAAACACAATTGCCCAGAAAATTATAAAAAGAATCTGTTGTGTAACGGACAAAGGTAAACGTAGAAGTACCTAAAAGCAATTTGTTGAATATTTCTTGGTATGCGATTATACCCTTTCGAATTCCTCGTTAAGTAGGTGACCCCATTTGAAGATACACAAACTGATTCGACATGGTTTGCCGAGCATTTTAGAGTTTGTTTACGAAAGGATAAAACCATTGTGGATAAAATAAAATGACTGTGGTTCTAAAAATACTGTATTATTACGAGGGTCAAACTGAAAGTTCTTAGAACTGGCCACTTATAAACAATATAATAAAAAAATAATTCTAAAATTTGAAAATATAACTCTTTGCCAATATTACTGAGTATATATTTCATTCATTTGTCATTTGTTTTACGATTTGGCGGCAAATTGAAAATTGTCTGTGTCACGTCATCATGAATTTAACACGAGAAAATTTTCGTGCAATGATTTTTTATGACTTTCGATGTCATTTAAGTCAACAAGAAAGTTATGATAGACTACGATTGGCCTTTCACGATGAAGCCCCATCTCGTGCGACTGTTTACAACTGGTTTAATGAGTTTAAACGTGGTCGCACTAATCTCACTGATGATTTACGTGAGGGACGGCCTTCTACGGCGACGACTGAAGATAACATCTGTGTTGTGCGGCGTATGATAGAGACTGACAAAAGAGTGACCTATCAACAGATTCGGACAAGCTTAGGCATCGGTATGAGTCAAGTGCACAAAATCCTCCACGAACATTTAGCGGTCAGGAAGCTTTGCGCCCGGTGGATACCTCATAATTTGACTGAGGCTCAAAAACTCCATCGTGTGGATTGGTGTCGTAAAATGATTGAAAGATTTAACGGAGGTGACTCAAATGCTGTGTTCGACATACTAACAGGTGACGAAAGCTGGATTTACTGTTATGATCCTAAAACCAAAAGACAATCTGCTCAGTGGGTGTTTCCTTTCGAGGAGTTGCCAACTAAAGTGAAGAGAGATCGAAGTGCGGGAAAAAAAATGGTGGCCTCGTTCTTTGGAAGGATAGGTCATTTTGCAACAATTGTGTTAGAGGATCAAAAAACAGTTTCTGCAGAATGGTACACTACCAATTGTTTGCCACTTGTCTTGGAAAAAGTTCGAGAGAAACGACCTCGCAGTAGGATCCTCCTTCACCACGACAACGCCTCGTCGCACACCGCCAAGCGAACGATCGACTATTTGGCGACATCAAACGTTGAATTACTGGGTCACCCGCCGTATAGCCCCGACCTCGCGCCTTGTGATTTTTATTTATTTCCAAAAATTAAAGAAAAACTTAAAGGAAAGCGGTTTATGAATGCTGAAGAAGCGGTGGCTGCGTATCGCGATGCCATTGAAGAGACCCCTAAGGACGAGTGGGCAAAGTGCTTTTCCCAGTGGTTCCATCGCATGCAGCGGTGTATTGACGTGAATGGACAATATTTTGAAAAGATATAATAAAACTAATAACTGGCTAATGTAATCAGTTTTTGATTTTCTAAGAACTTTCAGTTTGACCCTCGTATACTGTAATTCAATTTACTAATCCCGATTGTTAAAGGCGCGTGAATATTTCAGCTCAATTAGTCGAAGTCAACTATATCAAATTTTAAAGTATTTCTGTTTGTATAACATAACTGGTCAAATCAAAAATTAAAAGAATCGACTTAAATCTGAATGAATATGTAATATTATTAAGTTCAGGCTATGAATTGTCATAACAATTTTCCTCACCCTACAAGATCCACCGCCACGTTTCTCTTTCCACCATTTAGTCTTCAAAATGTGCAGTTTACCTTCCTCTTGCAATTTCAGAACGGCTCCGCTGATGGCAGTACGGTAGGGTGAATCTGCGTCAAATTTTATTCGTTTATCATTTTGTATATTATTCAGGAACGTACCGGAAAGTAGGCAGATATTCTCTGTGATTGTCGTTAGGAAAACGCAGTTTTTTTTAATATGTAATAGTAGCTACATGACCATGGACTATGTTTACGATACTTTATATTGAGGAAATATTATTAATTCATAGCTGTTATATAAAAAAATATATACTTCATTTAGATATAATGATGTACTTTTATTATCTTTTTTTATTAAAGGTTATATTTTTTACTTTGCTATTAATGATTTTGGCTTTCAAAGTTTTTTATTTATTAATTTTACTATGAGAAACATAGAATATATAGTTACCAATAGAATTTATACAATGTTAGTAAGAGCAATATCACTAAATTATGCCATTTAAAAAGCCTTCTTTAGTTTTACTTTATGTGTAGTCCAAAATTTATGTATATGTCGCAACTAAGTGGTATAATCTGCCGACCAATTGGGAGGCCTTTAATTGAATTCAATTAACAGTCTGATTTTCGATCAGCCGAGTAGCTGACCGCATTTTTTTAAATTCGACTGAACAAAAGTCTGCCAACTAACTGTCAATTCGTCGGGAATACCTAAATTTATTGGTAGAATTAGAAGTAAAACAAAATAAATATTGAAGTGGGTGATTTTATTTTAGATTTAAAAAAAATCCTATTTGTTTCTTATATTTTCACGCGCACTTCACAGATCTGCTATCAATATAGATACAGGACTAAAAAAGATAATAACAAAGTACGTATGATCCAATAAAGGCAGCTAACGTACACACCCATTTCGCAAGTGGGTTAAGCTTAAACTTTCATAATGAATTCTTAATACGAATACAATTAAACAAAGACAAGATATAGCGTGAGATGGTCACAGCGCCATCTATCGAAAGTAGAGTAAACGATGTATTTGACATCCTTTGTTTTAGTATGTCTATTACGATTTCTAAATTTGATGCTACAATAGTTAATAGCAACATAAAATGATAAACAGCTAAGTTATTTTAGTCTTGAAAGTCACGTGCAAGTTTAGGTAGGTGTAGGTTAATTTTTCAATTAAATGGCTAGCCGCCCAATTGAACAGCTATTTTAACCAGTTGCTACGACATATATTTGACATCCAATTTGTCGTTTGAGTTGAAATAATGCCTGCATATATAACTCAGATGACTATGCAATATCATTATATTTGAAATGGAGCTAATGTGATGACGGAGAATTTTCCGTATTGTATTTTGTTTGCCTTGTCGCGATTACAAAGGAAAAGGATAATTCGATATCTTTCAGCGTATAAGAGTCTTCATTGCAACCCTCCCTTTCTATGTTAGTAAGATAGTTTGAAAGGGTGATTCATAACAAGTATTTAGCCCAAAGAGAAAAATATTTGCAGTTTTATTTGTATCGAAGAACTCGGCATGTGTAAGATTTTTATAAAATAAATTGAATCGATGTTACATATATGTAGTTCAATAAGAATAATTTAACTCATACGGTGCATTCAATATTATCAACTTATTAATGTTTAAAAGTTTAAATAAAACTTTTTCGTGGTCCTTTTTAATTCTGACGGGTAATATGAATGATAAGTCTTTATAATAAAAATTCTTTTGCTGACCTTTTCACTCCGAGAATATTTCAACACATTTTTTGGGGTAAGATTTTTATGAATTCTGAGATTAATTTAATTATTTAAGAATGAGGGTCTAATTTTATAATTTCTATAAAGTGTGATGCTTTACCGGTTATAAAAGTATTTTATTTTTAATAATTCATAACGTTGATAACATGAAGTGTGAAGTTATAATAATTAATATTTAGATCTATATTCGTTTCTAGATTTTTCTTAATGTATTTTGGACAAATCAGTGTTTTGCTTTAAATGACAATTGAATTAAGTTCTTTCGACAGGGTTCTCAAAGTTTTTTTTTGTCATATACCGTTTCTTATGGAATACAAGAAAAGTAGAAAACTGATTGATTGTATGGTCGATTTTCTAAATTCTTAACCTATTTGTTGCTATCAATCTTTTTTTTTTAATAATACGAATTAAAAATAAATATAGTTCGTTGACGAGTCAGTAATTTACTATTGTCTTATAAATTAATCTAGTATTATTTTATTTGTCTTCGTGACTTTCTTAATTAAATATTTGTAGCTTGTAAATTTTTTTAGTAAAAGTTAAATTGGAAACACTTCCAATGAAATTAAAGAAAGAAACAAAAGAAGGAAAGTAAGAAATAAAGATTCTCAAAAATACTATGTACTTACTAGGCGGCATCGCTATTCCGTATCCTTTCGAGTCGAGCATCCCACCTACTTGTGTCAAGTCACAGTTCCGTTCGACTACATACTCGATGGTGGTCGACTCCATCAGGTATGCGTAAGAACCTTTGCCACGCATCACACGTTCCTCACCCTCTTTGTTGCTGCTAGTGAATACAGACGGACGGGCAGATTCCATGAAAGACCACATGCGCTGGTATGTAGAGAAATTTGAGTCCTGAGTAAGACAAATTAAATTAAAAAAAAACACTCATACTTATCAGCTCTTTTTACGTCCCCTTTGCTGGGGCTTAGGCCTTCCTTAAAGTTAATGAAGGTTAATGGTTAAGGAGGATGGACCATCACCATCTATGCTGGCACAATTCTGATTGGAGAGTATAGACGACTACAAATACAGCCGGGACTAACTGCTTAACGTGCCCTCCAAAGCACGGAGTAGCGTGTGAAATTAATTATTTGGTCCCCCATATATATATATATATATCGCTATATAGGCTGGATTTTTGAAAAGGAACAATAAATGCTGATACCTTCACTAATATAACATGAAAACGTTCCTAAAAGATCATCCATAACTTTCCAAGATATTATTAATTGTGTTAACAGATTCTGGAGAAAATGTACAGTAAGCATAAAATGAAGAACAAAATAATTAATCATATTTCATATGAGGATCAAAAGATTATGGATCGAATAGGAAAAAAGAAAGAATTGAATTGAGTATGAGGAAAGTATCAAAGAGCAGGTATCAAAAATTAAAGAAAACGCCAACTATTTGCACACATTGTGTACCTAAAAATGAAAAATCAATTGTAAATATTCTTTGCTGGCTTATGATTCTATACTCTATATATATGATTCGATTACTCTTTGAGTACAACTGAATATAATATTCTACAAATAGGGATTAAATTAAAATAATTAAATGAAATGAAATCCCAACGCACTAACTTTTATCATAGTAGGTAGTAAGAAATAGAATCGTACGGCAACAAAGAATAACTTCGAGTTGATTTTTCGTTTTTATATAAGTATATCATTACTGATACTGATATTTATTTAAAACAAATAATGACAGCCAAATTTTGCCTTCATTCTCCTCTGAGTTACATAGATGATTAATTAAAAATTATTAATAGATATATTGAAAATTCTTCGGCATTGACATTATAATATTTGTGGAAGTTAAAGCAAAGAATATTAATGAGATATTTGCTATATTCTCATTGAAATTTACACAATTGAGACTAAATACACACGGGCCCATTGTGAGGAAGCATATTATAACATCCCGAAACAATGTTTTGTTTTGCTTTTACGAAATTATCTCGAAACAATACAGGATATTTACATCGACTTGCGAGTTTAACACCAGTCAAATAGGACAGCATATGAGATGTGAACTTGTTAAGCTTAAATGGCAATTCAACAATTTATGTACGAAAAATACTTTGGCGATAAAAAATCCCTTTGTTTTAAATAAAACTCCGTTTATAAGAGATTCCATCAATTTATTTGATTATTTGAATTTTTAAATTGTCATATCCAAATTTTGAGTTAAAATGACTATTGTTCGGATACTTTTAAGTAACTGGACGTGCTCTTGATTGTACTTTCGTTTTTATATATACCATATTGTTTGAATTAGATTTTGGTTAAATTTGTAGAAAAAATAATTAACCTAATACTGTCATTACTTTCGTGTATCTTGCCTTATCTCTGGAAATTTTTATGTAGATTATCACTTTCCAATATGTTAAGATATTCTAAATTTTACTTTGACTTCTAACAAATAGCAAATTTGATATAAAAATATTTCACTTGGTAGTCATCAACCCAATTATTATAATGGTAAAAAACGACAGGGGCAGTTCAGGTCTCATTAAAGATTACGTGTGACGTCGAGCGAAGAGAGAAGCGTGTTAGTTTAACTGTAAGCAAACTCGAATCTGCTTAATTAATATAACTTTTGGTAAATAACCAATAATGGCAAATAACCAAATGTTATATTAATTAACATTTGGTAAATAACCAAATGTTATATTAATTAAGTAGATAACATACTTAATGAAAATACGCTGACTCGGTTTTGGTTTAAAGTTAAGAACGTTTCAAGCTGTACTTAAACTTTAACAGTTTGTCAAAACTAATACTTTTTGACTTGTGAAACGTCAAAAACTTAAATTATTGAGAATAATCAGTTGAGATTTTGTACTTTTCTCAATTCAGAAACCGGTATTTTGAAAAGGATCATTATATAAAGCAGACCAATACAGATGGTAATGATGAGGTTGGGAAATAAAATAAAATTGTAAGATAAGTTAGATATTGACTAATCGGTGAAATAAAATTCTATGAAATGTTAGTTAGCAAGTGATAATCGACCAAGTAATTTTCTACGAAAAGGTAGAGATCCTCATTTTCGGGGAATTGAAAGACAGTGTCGTATATCGAAAAGTTTATTAACCTGTCGGTTCAGAAAATATTGAGCTGACAACGAATATACTTTTATTCAAAGTTAATAGTCAGTTGCTTTGCTGTCATGAACATAAAAATATCACTTTTTTTTATATGTACTAAAAAATTATTTAGTTATAAAGAAAATTAGGTAAGATTTACGTCCTTTTTATAAGTAATCATTGTACTTACTCTGAAAAATGCTGCTGTCGATCCTCCTTTAAGAGCACCATACTTTATCTTAGTTTGTTTAGCAAGATCTTCAGCACTTTCTATCGGTGAATCCATTCTTTCGACTGTCAAAAAAGCAGCCAAGTTCGCTGTGTATGATGATATCATGATCAGAGTGAAGAACCACCACATACCAGCCACCATTCTCGTCGATACAGCCCTGGGTTATGACGATACTTTTTTATCATTAGCACAAGTAGAATGTGTGTCAGTGCGTGTCAAAATAGTGCCGCCTAATAACGCCATTTGTTTTTGAAAGTATAAGTCCACCAAAAAATCACGAACCAATATTCTCAGTGATAAGTTGATTACAGAATTATTCCTCTTGACTTGTTAACACTCTTCTCTTTCAAAAGTAGTGAGCGTGATTAGGTGACCTTAATTTATTTTACTTAAATTATTATATTTTGGATTAACTACATTGATATGATGCCTGAATAATATTACTTATGTAATATGTAATATTTGTTAATAAAAAATATAATAAAACGACTGATTTATCACACTATGCATTGTCATTACTTATAGATTAATAAAAATTTGATGCAGCAAGCTACGGATACTACACAAGCACGGAAGTATTAATTGGTGCAATATTGCAAATATCAACCGAACTAGCTGTTCAATCAGCAACTAAATTACAAAGTGTTTAGCCAACTATAGTGGGAAACAAAACTAGTTGTAATTGCCAACACGTTTCTATTAACATTGGCCACTCTAGGCGACTACCGATCCTTGAAATTCACAAAGGGCTGTGGTCGCTTTGAAACTAATTAGTAAAAGAGAGTTCCTCATCCGACTGCAACTGAAGGCTACATTTCCTTTAAAATATAGCTAGTCTAATTAAAAGACTCCCGAGTTCATTAGTGACGTTGCAGATTTCAGGAAATATATTAAAATGTATTCGCATTAAAATCTGTATACCGATGCTTAAATGGAATTGTAGCCGTCACAGCATCGGTTGGTATATCTGAACGTGTGGGACTTACTTCGGTGCGATATCCGAACCTTGCTGCATCAAGGATCCGATAGTGAACCACAGCGAGTTCAACAGAGTGAACTGATTCTCCAACACCGGTGGCTCGTCTAGACAGTTCCTGGGGCTGTCCCACTCGTACGGACTGAACCTGCGCCCAAATACTCCCATTCAACATTTCCAACGATATCGCTCAACAACGTACTAAACCATCAGATTTAATAAAGATATCTTGACGACGTAGCTGTTTTAAAATAAATTTAAATTTTGTAGAAAGAGACATCAATAAGGAAGGGTGTTTATCATTTTTTATGTGCAGATTGTCAATGGAGCAGTGCAGGGAGTGTATTTTATGGAAATATTTCAACTTAAATTGTTTTAGCATGGTTGCTTCATATCATTCGCCTATTATGTTTTGCAGTGGAAATATTTGAGCATGGTATACCTCAAAATATTGCCACCATAAATTATCGCGTTGTTAGAAGCGTTTTACTCTGTTTTCGCAGACCTTATTTAGGAAGGTAAGTTGTTGGAAATGTATAATAAAGATTTTAGTTGTGTTGATGAGCGATATCCGTTAGGACTTTTTAATAGTTCTTCTTGTGGACTTCGCTGAGGTCACTTGCCAATAATGTTGAAAATATACTATACAAGTATATTTCCAAGACGGTTTTATTTAAACGGGCTTTACATTTCTTACTTGGGTAAAAAATCACAGCTCTGCTGCATGAGAGATCCGATGGCAAACCACAAACAGTTGGCAAGAGAGAAAATATTCTCCATTTTCTCACCATCAGGAGTATGTGTCGGATGCCATTCGTAGGGAGTGAACCTATTAGAATTCGTAACTTTAAATATAAAGAGCTTTTTCAAATTAATGTTCCAGTTTAATGTATTTATTTTGAAGTATCTATATAATTTGGACAAATCAAAACAAATGCGACGTTTATTTGACTTGTCCTTAACGATCTGATCCTCCTTTGAGTTGAATAGAACAAGTATTTTTACTATATCATATAAATTTCTTAGTCTACTTAATATAAAACTATCAGTATGTACCTTGCCAGAATGAAGAGTAGCACGGATACACCTAAATAAGCTGTAGCCATATATATCCAAACGTCCAGTGAGAGGGGTGACAGAAACGAGAATAGGTTTGGTGGTTGCTTGATTGGCTTTCGGTACAACACCGAGATACCAAGATTCATGAATGGCATCGTGAAATCAACCACCTGTTCCCTGTAGATATAAATGAATATTGTTATCTATTTTCTAAACATAAACCTCAAAAGAAAGATTTAGAATTGTATTAAGTTTGCTATTTCGCTTCCTTAGAAATGTAAACAATAAAAAAATGATATAGTAAGACATGTTTAAGAAGATTTAAATACTTATATTTATAAATTCACCAGAAAATTAAAACTCGATATCTTTGTTAACAAATTAGCACTTAGACAAGACTAACTTCTAAAAATAATAACTGATGATATCCTCAATAAAATAGGCACATAAATTAATTAAAACGAACATCTAAGGCGTTCATTTACAGCTCTTATCAAGATTAGATTACCGAAGTATGTTCCCAATGCCGTGTAGAATTTAATTAACAAAATAGTTTAGCAAACAGTAAAAGCTTTACCTGTCATACGTAATGGTGAGATCAGCAATGGCAAGATCGGCTCTTTGTTCTAACAGTTCCCTTATCATTCCGTCCCACTCTTTAGTCTCCCTGTTTTGGGAGCCGTATCGACCGTCTGGCGCCAGCTTGAATGTATAATTGAACTTCAGAATTTTAGATATCTCGTGAATGAGATCAATGGCGTAACCCTCGAATTGTGCGTTTCCAGTCAGCTTTTCACTTGCTTCTTTTCTCATACAATACGGTGCACTCTAAGGAATTACCGATACAAATTTAAATACGTTTAAAAGGTACTACATAGAATTTAGACTTTAACAGAAAATAAATTATTCACAAACAAGACGTCACAATGTTGATTTCAAAGATGCTATTGATATAGCAAAGAACGTTGGATGCTCGCATGAATAAATTATTTTAAAGGAATACGTTTCCTGCGTACATTCGTACGTTTATAATCCTCTCTTGCTCGGGAATCTCATTAGCATTCATTAATTTTGCCTGGGTAGCAGTTAAAAGCAGTAAAAATATTAAAAGAACTATCCTTAAAATAATGCCTTTGCTGCTTACCAAAATTGTGGTAACGATGAGGGTTTTGTTTTGAAGTATCTCGACTATTTGTTTTTGATTTTCACCATAAGACCTCGTATAATTGACACCCTCGGAGGAGTTCCAAGTGCCTGCCTTTTGCAAGCCATCTCTTGTCAACTCGATTATATCTAAAGTGAAGTCGCTCCTAAATCCTTGATGGTCGAACTTTATAACTCCAGTTAAGCCTTTCATTTCCACCTGTTCATTGAATTGAACGGAGGTGTTAAGATGAAAAGATCCAGTTGTAAATTAATTTAATAAATAAACAGGGAAGAGGATTCAATTAATTAGGTATATTTTTGAACTTTCTTACAAAGAGAATAATAAATCTGGCGTTTTATAATGGTTAAATAATTTACTTGAAAGGATTAAGAATAACAAAGCTTTCAGCAGCTTATGCAATAAAATGGATGAAGCGACTACAAGAAGCTTCGAAGTGGGTGTTACAATTCAAGCTGTTAATCTCACAACTCGTCTCGTGCTTGCATTTATCCCACTGTATTAGTCTCGACTCAGTGCAAGCTTGTTAGTTTCAACTGAAACCTATTGTGTAGCCACATTTAACTGGGACTAAATTATAATTTATCTCTAGTTTTCTCTTGCTATTAGACACCATATTTTTACTTCTTTTATTATTCTGATAAAATTTTATATTTAAAATATATTACCGATATTTATTGCAAACTATTACTGTAAAAATTTGCTAACTACTTAGCAATTTTACAGCCTTAGGTACTCGAGACGTGATTTAAACTTGTGACGGTCCTCCAAATCTAACTGATTTAACTTTCAACTATAGCATCACTCTCATTAAGTTTAACGTCACTTTTCAACTAATTCAATGTTAAATAGCAGAGAGAAATATGAGTACGTATACATATAGATCGGCAGCAGTTGTTCAGTTAACGAAAGGTTTTGAACAGTATTTTCATCTTAAACACCTCAGACTATATATTTATTATTTTATTTCCCTTTAATATGAATATACACATTTTGAAAGGGTACCTTAAAACTGTAATAAATATCCTTTTCATATTTAGAAAAACGAATGTTATTTTAGATAATCTATTATAATAACAATGGTATTTATAATACAGTAATGAGTACTCACGATTTTCATGTAATTGATGAGACTATATCCATGGGGCCAGGTGTCCTCGGCTTCACAAGACAGCGGTCTCACATCGATTTGTTGCGACGTATCTAGATCGTGGAGAGCTTTTGCGAACAAATGTACTGCATCATACATGAGAGCTGTTTCAGTCTGTGAAGATAAAAGATGTGACATTCTCCGGGAGAAAATCTAATAACTGAGCATTTGAAATAACAAACACAGAATCTGAAGACGTTCTTTAAAGATTTTCATTTTGCTGAAACGAATGAAACGTAAATGCTAACAGAATGTCAAATGTTGATATCATTATTTATTTCACGTTTTAGGGTATTATTACATTTAAATAAAGCGCTTACCTTTATGAATGTCATATTTTCCTGGAATCAGACGGAAACATTAGATTATATTTATGGAATTGTTGAAATATTTTTTATTTGATTCTTAATTCGTAATATATTGATTAAAAAGTCAATTGCGCGTATTTACTACTCATTGAAAAGAATGTATAATATAATATATATAATATATTATTATTGCAATTTTTATATTATATTTTTTAGCTTACAGTCAATAGATAACTTGTTAAACGTGTTGATTGGAAATATACACGTTTTGAACAATAACAATTAGTTGTAATAATAAAAAATTGCAGGATGAAGAATCATTGAAATCTTTAGTGAACTCGACCTTGGCTGACGTGTGTCCTAGTTGTAGTTTCCGCCCTTTTCTGGCTTCATCATACACCCAGTCCCGTATGACTCTTTGTACATCTGCTCGTTCAGGATCAAGTAACCTTAGAGCCGTTATATTAGTTCCACCATATTTGAATTCCTCTAAGTCAACGCTGTGAAGATCCTGTAGATTTTTTTACGTTATCAACATATGAATCATAAGACTACTTGCTCTTTCGATAAGACATCAACCTTTGCAAACAAAATATGCAATCTTCTTAACTAAACATTGTTTTATTATATTTGATCATTGATTTCATCAATTCATTTACAATTCTATACTGGAAAATATACTTAATGAAAAATGCTTCAAAAATCCACTTTGTTCTTGAATATTTAAACATTGTTTTATTCGATAATTAAACAATTCTTTACATTTTTAAATAAACGAACGTTTATCTCGCTTACTAAAATGCTGGGTAATGTTCGTACATAAATTCGATTACTAAGCTCAAACAAGTAACAATAAATACCTATTAAAAAAGTTTGATTACAATTATTCCATTTACGTTCTTTATAGTATAAATTAATGAAGCAAACCTTCTTAATAAATAATAAGTTAATAAATAAACCTACTAAAGAAGTAATCAGGTAGCTATGATAGTCAGACATCATTCCAATTTGTTGCGCTTGTTGTAGTACATCTCTGATTCTATCTGTCGCACAGTCGAGCACTATATGAGATTCTGCCGAATTCTTTATCTGTTTCAGAAGTGGCCTGTAAAGCGAGTAATCTTAATATAAAGATATAAGTGCTTGATATTAAGATATTGCAATTTACAATGTATAATTTTACCTATAATCATGTGAATCAGGTAATTGACGTACTGCTACTGGCAATTCCGAAGGGCCATGAGCTTTGAGTAATTCTTGGAGTCTCACCAGACCATCACTGTTCTCATATACGATTGTGAAGGATTTCCATCCCCAAGCTCTTACTAAATCCACGTAGGCCTTAAATAATCGAATTCAGTCAATAAATAATCAATTTAACCGAAATCAGTGGTGTTGTTTGTTCTTATTAGCAATTAAATTTTTAGATATAAAATAGTTAAATGATAGTCAAGCTTAGACTCTTCTGGTTTGCTAATAAAATAAAGGTAGTTGTAATATATAGGAATTCAAATAAACATAGTAATATAATTTACCCGACTGAGTGCCGCTGGATGTGGATAAAGGTTAACGAGACAGGACTCCCGTCTAGTGCGGTAGTCCCATCTGGTCTCTAAGTGCGGTAGTTCCATTGTGTCACAAATAGACTGTACGTGGGCGGCGGCGGGTGCTGATTGTGGCCCGAAAATGGCCGCCACTCCACTCCGTAAAAGGTGGCATACTAAAATATGAATCTACGTAAGCTCAAGTGGAAAGCAATGCGAGTTTCCGACTATTGTTACTCATTAAGTAGTCCTTAAGAGGGTTCCCTATAAAAGATTCCGTTATGATAACGACGAGTAGCAGTAGTCTTCTAAAAGTGTGCTAATAACGACAACATCTAAGACCTATCGGTCCTTCGGTGATACTTCTTAAATACTTTGATTAATCCTACTTCAAAATTGAATTGACGATTTAATAAATTATAGTTGGCGAGAATACGAAATAAGATAATTAACAAACCAATTGTCAATGTAAGTTTTTTTTTATCTAGATAATGTTCATAAGAAAGAATAGCAAAGTTCATACCTACATGCGTAACTTTATATTTACTGTCATGATACGAGGGTAAATGACATAGATTTTATGATAAATAGGCTTTAAAAAATTGCCAGTCTGTTGCCTACAAATATTAACATTAATCTTGTTACTTCAGCTGACTTTTACGACTTGGTTCGGCTGATAAACAGTTTATACTTCAATATTTTTCAAAAAAATTAACGTATAAAATTTTCGACGATATATTGAACGTTCAACACTACATATATAATATATGTGTAAGGTTAAAATCCAATTTATGTAATTCTGAACGTAACTTTTATGAAAGAGATGATGAATGTTAAGTGCGTAAGAGTAAAAGAGTAAAAAGATAATAGCAGAATGTTTGGTTGTGTGAGAGCGAGATGTTAAATATGTACCCTAGGAGTAAGAGGGACGGATAATAAAGATCATTATGGCCGGATCTCAGTCTTTCATTTACATGGCGCTGCGGATAAAAATTTAAAATATTGTTGCAAATACGTTCAATTTCGCAATAATAAAGAGGTGTACGTTTCACACCAAATAAGTGTATCAAAGTGATTATATTTGTACGTCAACAAATATAAAAGTTAATAAGATTAGTGTAGATTCATTTTCAGCACATTGTTAAGAGGCCGGCATAATCAAAAAAAAAATATATATATATATATCATGGAATCGACCGATCGAAATGAATTGGAGAAATATAATGTTAATCAGTTAAAAGAAGAATTAAAACTAAGATTTTTACCGACTAAGGGCACAAAAAGTGAGTTACTTGATCGATTGTTACAAGACAACGTAATGAAAAATGAAAATGGCATTTTAGAAAGCTATCAAGAAGAAAAAAATAGAAGACTATCGGAACAAACTGAATTGAAAAATTTGAAAATGGAACTCCAAATGTTGAAACAAGGTAGTATTGATCTAGATCTGGAACATTCGAAAAATGAAAATTTGTCCACAGAAAAATTACAACATGACCCGATGATAGTACAAATTTTACAAACTCAGTCAGAATTGTTAAAAAGAATGATAATTACTCCAACACAAGGTATTCAAGTGTTTTCTACGTCAGACACAAGTCAGGCAATTCCTATTTTTGGTGGTAATAAGATAGAAAATGTGTTTGATTGGTTAAAACAAGTGGAAAGAGTGGCAAGTTTGGCAAATTGGTCTGAAAATTTAACTTTAATAAATGCAGCAATGAGGCTTCGAGGTGCAGCTAGTGATTGGCACAAAGCGTATGGCAAAAAATTATTATTATGGAACGAATGGAAAGTTAAATTATTACAAAGATTTAGTACAAAAATGTCATTTGCAGAATTTATAGCATATCAAGCTAAAAGAATATTGCGTGTTACAGAAACTTTAACAGAATACATTTATAATAAAAATGCTATGTTTGAACGTTCTCCTACTATGATTTCAGAATGTGATAAAGTCTCATTAATTTTGGAAGGTATTACAGATCAACGATGGTCAGTTCCGTTGGCTACACAGTGTTGCAAAAATGTAGAAGAGCTGCTTGAACATGCTTCAGCATTAGATAACATAAGGAAGACTTTACCTAAGGAAGATTATTTTTTAAAACAAAAAGAAGCTAAAAATGTAAGTACAACATTCTCTAACAGCAAGGAATTTCATAGAAGCAATAAATACATTCAAAAATTTAATCCCCAAACAGATAAATTAGAAGAACAAACATGTTTTCGTTGTAAAAATAAAGGTCATATTTCATATAATTGCTCATTTCAACCTAATCAAAATAAAATAAACATACAGAATGATAATAAAATAAATGATATCAGTAAAAACATAGAATCAAAAGCATCTTCAAGTAATATTAATGTTACTAATTATAAAAAGAATTTGAAACAAATAAGTTGCATCCAAGATAACATTCCAAATATAACATTGATACCAGTAACATTAAATAAATCAGTAATATTACAAGCATTACCAGATTCAGGTTCAGTTTTGACAATAATTGATAAAAGATATTTACCTGAATTAAATTGAATTAAATTGAAACATGATAAACCAATAACTTGCAAACCTTTTAGATTACCAGAACCAGAAAGAAAATTTTTGAAAGAAACTGTAGAAAAATGGATAGAACAAAAAATTTGCAGATTTTCAAATTCACCTTATGCGGCACCTATGTTTGTAGTACAACAATTATTTCATGAAACAACAAAATATAGACCAGTGGTAGATTATTCAAAAACCATTAATCCCATAACAATTTTAGATACTCAACCTATAGAAAGAATGGAAGACATTATAAACACAGTTTCACAATATATATATAAATTTAAATTAGATATTTACCATGCTTATCATAATATATGTATCAAAGAAGAAGACATTTATAAAACAGCTGTTACTGTTTACACAAGACTATCATATTGAATTTATGAGAGTAATGTTTGGGTTGGTCGGAGGCCCATCAATTATGTCAAAGGTAGTAAAGTCAACATACGGTAATTTATATGATAAAGGCGTGAGAGCTTACTTTGACGATATTACAGGAGGACAAAATTCAATTGAAGACTTTATAAAATTGTTGAAAAAAGTATTTGAAGCAACCAGACAGAAAAATTTAAAATTAAATAAAGAAAAATGTATATTTTTAGCAAATGAAATACCATTGTTTGGAAAGTTAGTTGGTTATAAAGAAGAAAGAACAGACCCAAAAAGAATTGCAGCAATAGAACAATATAAGACATTATCCACGCTTAGAGAAATTCGTTCATTTCTAGGATTTACAGGAGCTTTCAGAAAATATATAAGAAATTATGCACATATAGCAAGACCATTACAAAATACATTAAAGAAAAATCAAGTAGAAGATAAAGTAAAACAACAGTATAAGAAAAATATTATTTTATCAGAGCAACAACAAAAGTCATTTGAAATGTTAAAGAATTTATTAATTTCAGCACCAATATTAGCAAATTTTCAGCAAGAAGCAGAAACAATTGTGGAGACGGATAGCAGTTATCAAGGATTAGGTGCATGTTTGTTACAAATACATAATGGTGAAAAGAAGGTTATTGAAAATGCCAGCAGATGTCTAAAAGATGCAGAAACAAGATATCACATAAATGAATTAGAAGTTACTGCCGTACATTGGGCAATTGTAAGTAAATTTCGTATATATTTATTAGGAATTAAATTTCAATTAGTCACAGACAGTTACTCAACAGCATACATAATAGACAGAGCTAAAATAAATAGAAAATTTGCAAGATATGTAATTGATTTAGCACCATTTGATTTTACACCAGTGCATAGACCAGGAAAACAAAATGTAATTGCAGATCACTTATCCAGATATCCATTGAATGAGATTTGTATGTCAGTTATCAGCAGTAATATAGAAAAATTAAAGTTAGCACAAAGTAAAGATCAATTTATTCAACAAATATGTAAGAAATTAATGAAGGAACCCACATCGCATCATTTAAAACAAATACATAGTACATTTAGATTATCAGAGGGAATTTTACTACATTTAAATATACAAGAGTTATTTGATAATCAGAAAATTGTAGTACCGCAGAGTTTAAGAGAAAATATAATAAAAATTGCACATGATGATAATGGCCATTTAGATTTCAGCACTACTCTAGCAAAAATTAAAACGAAATATTGGTGGAGATCGATGAGAAAAGATATCAAATCATATGTATCAGCATGTATAATTTGTGCACAAATCAACAGGCGTACAAAGTTTGCTTATGGAAAATTAGGTAAAAGGCCAATACCACAAACACCAATGCAAGTTATATCCTCAGATCACATTGTTTCATTACCACAGACAGAATCAGGTAATACATATATATTTGTTCATATAGACCATGCCACGAGATATATTTTTGCCAAACCATGCTATTCATTATCAGCACAAAGTGTAATAGACACTATTGAAAATTATATAATTTATGTATATGGACCACCACAGACCTATATATCTGATAGCGCACCATGTTTCACTAGTCAAGCAACACAGAAGTTTTTTAATAAATTTGGAATAGAACATATACCAACAACTCCATATACAGCTCAAAGTAATGGATTAGTAGAAAGGGCAAATGCCACAATAATGTCAACATTAACAAAATTTTCTATGGAAAATGCTAAAGATTGGGATTTATTATTACCAAAAGCTATATTAGCCATTAACATTTGTAAACAAAAAACTACAAGATATTCGCCATTTTACTTAATGTTTGGATTTGAACCAAGAATTCCACCGAAAGAGATACATTTTGGAACAATATTTGAAGACATAAATAGAACACATCAATTGGATTTATTATTTCAAGCTAGAGAACAATCATTACTGAACATAAATAATGTACATGAATATAATAAAAATAGATTTGATTTAAGAAGATTAGACCATAATTTCAAAGAAGGCGAATATGTTTTATATGAATGGATCAAACCATCTGACAACAAGTTAACTCCAAGATATAAAGGACCGTTTATAATCAAGAGAAAGGTTGGTTCAGTTTGCTATGAAATACAAGATGTATGGAAGCCATCAGTCAAGAAGATAGTACATGTTCAGTTCCTTAAACCCATGTCCCCTTCCCCTAATTTAAATTCTTTTACAGATACACAAAATAATACACCTTTTGATGACAATATAAGCCAGAATCATGAGCAAAGCCAAAATGATGACAACAATCAAGGATAAGTTTAAGAGGTGTTACAGCATTACCTATACAATGTATGTAAACAAGTAAATATTATAGGAAAATAGGTTTATAATAAGTTTTTTTTTTTATGAACTTAAAGTAGTATATATGCATGATAATAATATATTTGTTAAACAGTAAATTCATATATATATTTCAGTTATACTTTGTTATTTAAAGAACATAAAATGTCACAAAAAAAAAATTAAATGTATAAGTTACATAGAAGTAAATAATTATTATAAGATAGTAAACATTGTTGTAAAACAAAAAACAAAAAGTGCTAGGTAATTAAAGTAAATCAATAAGTTATTAAGCTTAAGATTAATTGTTTACAATAAGTCCTTGTAACAATTAAATTTCTTTGTTAAGATCTTTTTGATTGTTAATTAAAATGATAGATAAGTATATAAAAGTTATAAGTTAGTAGTTTAAAATATTACATGTTAAAATATTGTATACATAACTATAATGCTACAAAATTATAATATTAAAAAGAATAGATAAAAATGAAACCAAAAATTGTAAATTCAAAACTTTTTATTATTCAATAAAACAATAAGTACAAGAACAACATCATGTAATGTAAACAGTAGTAGTAAAATAGTATAAAAATAATGTGAATTAAAAAGTATAAAGGCATGTAAGGTTATAGAATGAGTGTGAAATTAAAATTTGTTAAAAATTAAAAAATTGTTAATTTCAAAGGGCATGTAAGGTTAAAATCTAATTTATGTAATTCTGAACGTAACTTTTATGAAAGAGATGATGAATGTTAAGTGCGTAAGAGTAAAAGAGTAAAAAGATAATAGCAGAATGTTTGGTTGTGTGAGAGCGAGATGTTAAATATGTACCCTAGGAGTAAGAGGGACGGATAATAAAGATCATTATGGCCGGATCTCAGTCTTTCATTTACATATGGGTACAAAATTAGTTGATAAAGAAATGTAATTTTATATTAGAAAGTAAATATTACCGAAATTGATTTTTTTTAGTCCAGAGAATCACAGAGAGTGTAGAGAGTCTAGAAGGCATTTACTAAATCGGATTGTTGCCAAGTATTTCGTCTACCGTTTTTGGGATTACAGAGGAGATTTTGGTGAAATAAAAAAAAACTCTCAAATCTACTGTATAAAATGAGATTCTGGATATAATAATATAATATCTTGTAGATCAAAGTAACAAGATATTGTTGCATAAATACATTAAATACATTTACATTTTTATATATTTCTTGCTATAGATATGTTTGATATGAAGGTATAATTCTTACCTCGTTTTGAAGCATGGAAACTATCTTGTGGTGAAATAGTCTCTACTTGGGCTAGAAGCTTTGCTCTAGGCAGTACTGCTCGATCTGCATTTACTCTTTCTACAGCATAACGAAATGCCACTTCTTGTTTATCGTCTTCTGGGTGAAACAGACCACCTGTTTAAGGCAAATGTGGGAGTTATATTTACATTTTTATTTATGACGGCGTTAGCACCACTGACGAAAATAAAAAAAAGACTGAAAAAGTTTCATAAAGGTGAAAATTATTAAAGAAACTACTAATAAAGGCAGGCGGGGTAGTGTCTATGTAATTACCTATAATATTACAAATATTTTAATTATGTTTCACTTTATGTTTAAAATTTAACAAAAGTTGTTTTTTTATTGAGTCCTTCTTTATATATTACTAAAAAAAAATTAATAAAGTTTTTTAAGACAAAAATCAACCAATCGATCAAAAAACGTTTCAATGCAACGTATTATTGCTAGAAATACGTAAACAAACATACACGCATACAAGTGTATTTCTTTTTATATTATGTATACGTATACAGACATAAATACGTATACCTTACCAAACAACAGTTATTGTAGTCTCAGAATCGACGTTATCCGCATATTATTTATTGGCAATTTCAATAATTTATATTGCGTAATAATTTATATAAATGTAGTGTAAGCTAAGTGTTACAAAATATACGTAAAAAAAGTATAAGCAGGTATCCTTATATTTTTTGACACTTCGCTTATATGTCGTTATGGGGCAAGATAAGCTTAGAACGTCAAGTAGATTCCATAATTAAATACATTTTAACCTAATAAATTAATCGTTGGAGTGTAATAACTCGACTGAGTATAAAAAACAGAAAATTTATGGCAATTTTTTTTCGTTCATCGCTTATTTTCGTTTTATCGTAAAGAACACAGTAAACAGCTTTTATATATTTTTAAAACAAAATGTTTAAAAAGCTACTTGGTCCCTGGCACCCTGAGATAGGAATCGAACTCGGGACCTTTCGCAATCCGGGCGACTGCTCTAACCACTGAGCTACCCAGGACCTAACAGGACTGACGAATCTTTCAAGCACTTGTTACTTTTCGCTGTTTTGAAGAACACAGTGAAATAGTTTATAACTGTGACAGATTAAATTCTAATTTAAACCAAACCCAACCAAATTAATTAATTTGAAACGATATTTGATAAAAGACACTCGCTTCTCTGGTATTTTGTTATATATGTCGCAGTAAGATAGATAAAGCCGTAATATAGTTATATCCCTAGGGATATAATTATATACCGTAACATAGTTATACAGAAGCGATTCATTACTATCTCACTAGAAATATAGTTATAAAGCGGTCCAAGTTTAGTGATATACTTATATAACTAGATTAAGTTCAGTGTTATAAATATATTACTTGATTAAGCTTAGTGAAATAGAAATCTACCATATATAATTAAACAAAACAATATTATGTTGGTTTTATCTTTATAAAAAAATCTACTTTATGTATCCTGCAGTTATTTACAATACTTTGTGATATTAAAGTAAATACAATGAAAACTATATAATTAAACATTTTATAACTAATCATCAGTTTTGAGATATCTTTATTTCTTATCAACTAAGTTGATATCTTGGTTTCTTTAAAAGTATTTTTTAATTTTTGTTTTGTTTGTACATGGTTTAAGATATACGAATGATTTTAAAAAAAGTTAAATTATTTTTAAACTTATATTTTTGCCACAATAATAAAAAATGACTTCGTTGAAATGTATGTTTTCGTTACATAAATGGGGAAAATAATAATCCAAGTTGTATTTTGATGATTATGGTAAAAAAAAATTATTGACAAACAGTCATAGACAATATTTACAAAGACATTAAAAAGAACAAATAGAATAGAAACTAAAAGGTTTACTTTCTTGAAATAAAAATAAAACTATATTAGACGACCAATTGAAGCCGCAAAATCCTCCTGCCTGTTGATCCTCTGTACTGGGTAGAGGGCAAAGACGCACCAAAGAGCGCCGCACGCACCCTCGAGTCGTAGCAATGTCTGCTACTCTTGTGATCCCGTCTGGTCCAGGAAACAAACTAGTCACCCTTCCAAGTCTCCACAGAAGCGGTGGGGCATTATCCTCCTGGAGCAACACCAAATCTCCAATTTTCAAATACGATGAATTGTTTTTCTATTTGGATCTTTGCTGTAATTCACCGATGTACTCACGCTGCCATGTTTTCCAGAAATGTTGCCTTACTCGTTCTAGGTGATTATAACGATTTAATATATGTTCTGAGGTCTGGAGCTGGTAATGACGTTAATTTTCGTCCTATAAGAAAGTGCCCCGGGGAAAGTGCTAAACGGTCATCAGGAGAGGAAGACGCAGAATAAAGTGAAAGACTGTTTAAAATTGCCTCAATTTAATCAAATAAGATACTTAGTTCCTCAAATATAAAATGCAAATTACCCATCACTCGTTTAATATGATACTTTGTCTATTTCACGCCTGCCTCCCAAATGCCAATTTTATGTTTTTGCTACATAAATGGGGAAAATAATAATCCAAGTTATATTTAGATGATTATAGTAAAAAAAATATTATTGACAAAGTTTTTTTTTTTTTTAAAGAATTACACGAGGTTGACATGGGTTAATTGACGCGTGCTAAGACGCGGGAAAACAGCTAGTTATTTATATAATTTTAAAGTACAGCACCTGGGAAATTTCTTTTAAAGAGTTGTGAAAGTTTAATACTTTTGAATAAATGATTTTTCACTTTTATCACAATTATAAGCATACATTCATATATATTTTTAGTTACCTACAAAATATATACAGTGGTTTATGGAGCCAATGTCATAGCACCTAATTTGGTGAATAAAATTCCTCCCACGTTTTATACCGAAAATTAAGTAACAGAATTGACCACTAGAGCTTATAGACGAGAACCGAAAGGAACTCAAATCTAATTTCATAAAATGAAGTTGAAAAAAATCATTTTAATAATTTTCCTACCCCAAGCTGCCAGTTTTCCCTAAGGATAAAAATGCTATAAGAAGAACAGGTCATAAATCAAAACGTGGACCCAGTGCGAATTGGTGGATATTATTGACGGCTGTAACAGTATTCCGATGATTTCATATCCCTTTTAATGTATGACAGTTATAAGTTCATGTTATAAATTTATTTAATCTAGAGTGAAATCACGATCTATCCATAAATTTAAAGGAGCAGGCTTTGTATAGGAAAAACGCTGCTATATGCTCAAAAGGGTGCTTTTTCATTTTGTTTATAATACACTCGGCTGCTTTTCAAGTTACTAGAATCTGTTCAATTTCTGCAATTGATTTCGAACACTAACCTCAATGAATTAAGGTTTAAAATCAAGTGGAGAAGTTTGACTTTTGTATATTTACTTTTGTATAACCTGAGGTGTTTACTGTACATGTAGCGTCCACAATCTTATACAATAGATTTTCTACTAGTTTATACTAGTTAATTATTTGTGATTTAATTATTTTAGTCGACAAGTAAACTGTGGACTGTATAATCAATGAAAGATAAATTGCACAAGAAAAAGATACAATTAAAAATACTAATTCACAAAACATACATCAGGATAGGCAGCAAGACACTAATAATAATAATTGTTAAAGTTATAAATAAAAATTAAAAATTTATAAATAAAAATAGGCTTATCTAAAGGGGCTGGCACAAGACAAAACAGCATTCCGAAAAGATTCAGCACGAGTATTTAGAAAAATTATTACATTTTCATTAAGATATTGGTCATCTTATTTTTGAAATATATTTTACGAAGATTGTATACCTATTTTTATGACAACTTAAAACAGATTAAACTATAATTTTAAATGTTTTCAGTGATGGACCAAAAAGTTTCCTCTGTCATTTTTTGTGCAATATGGCAACTTTATAGAAAAACATACCTATTCCATAAAGGTTCAACAGTTCAAATGTATAATACGATGGTATTCAAATTGAGTGGATTCTGACAAATCAAATTTACATCAGGAGGTCGTTAAGGTATCCAGTTCACGAAACAGACCATCACATCGGGATAGTTATTATAGACTATCGAATATTGAATTTGTATCGTGAGTTTTCGTTAATTGAATATGAATTCAATACTAACTATTACTTGTTCGTTTCAAACTAAATTACGACATTCGTGTTCTATATTTATTTTAATTATTTTATAGATTACGTGATTTAGCCTTTTCACATCGAACGTGTTAGAATTAATAAGGTCGAATCTTTAAGAGAACGCATAGGAATTGCGAAGATTTGAAATTGAAACTTTATTTTTGGGGGAAAATAATGAAACTTGGAACAGTGTATAAGTAGGCAAATATGAATGAAGTATTGAAATTACTTTCAAAACATTTTTTAAGGTTTTGAAGTACTTACGAAGGCATTTGCATTGGTTTGCTTATTGTTAAAAAAAGGGCAATGAGGCGTTTCGCCACCAATTTGGTAAGAATATATAAGATGCAACCAATGTAGAAACCTTTGTGTCAAAACTAAATATATAAGTGAGTAATTAATCATGACATAAATAAAAGTACTTACCAATTCGTATGGTATCGGGCAAAGCGGAAAGATGGCCGAAAAATAAAATGAGAAAAACCGCTTTCGCCCCTCTCATTCTGAAACAAGGGGAAACTTTTACAATATCGAAACTCTCAGTACAATCACTGACACAGTTGTTTCGTCATAATATGACCATTTTGTGTTGTCATAAGAACTGTAATGAAACTTTCCGTTTTATACAAGGAGAGCTTATAGGCTCTTAAATAAGTCGTTTCAGACATTTATTTAATAGTTTGTTTGTTACCTAACTGAAATAAACACCAAGACTATCTTTGTTTTACTTTAGTTTAACAATGGTAGTTATTCTGTTGCGTAGACTAGCCTATTATATTGATTAAATCAAACTTTGTTTATATTTGTAAAAATAACCAAGATAATTATATTACTATATTAATATATTAGACTTTTTTTTAGTTTAGATTAGCTTAAAGAGGGGAACAACAGAATTGGCATCATTGAAACATTCCATTCAAACTTCGAAAAAAATTATATAACTTCTTATATTATTTCAATTATATTAAACGTAATAATTCTGAACCAATTTGTATACAATAAAAACAAACAGAATACAGTTCTTGTACGTACGTGCAAAAACTGATATGAATCTTGCAAGCACTACCCAGTGTTATCCATAAATATATACGTGTCTATATTAAAATTTTGTTAATAACAGGGATATATGATATGAAATTTCAGATCTGGATACGTACATACACGGATATATGTATATTAAAGTATCAGTTTAGACATATAATCAATTTTACATTCATAATGTTTTATTTATAATTATCTTAAAGGCTTAAATATTCATCAAAGTTTAAAATTCAGAATTTTTAAGCATTTGTCTTTTTATGACGCTTCATTATAATAAGGGTAATAGTAGACTTGGTAGGGTTGAAACAAAACTGTCATACCTTATTTAGACACCCCTATCTAACATGGGAGACATGCCAAAATAAATATTGTATATATGTCTCCGAATTCATAACGAATGTAACAGTTCAAACGTATTACGATGATCTGTTGTTTTTCAATTAGCAACGTTTATATTCAAAAGCAATCATTTTGAACCACGAAAAATAAGAGGTGATTTAATTGTATTTTTTATTTTAAGTCGATGAGACTTTTGATAATCGAGCTTTTAATAAATTTAAATGTTATTAACAAATTACTGCATATTGATTGCTTAGTAATTCGATAGTATTCTAACGTAATTTTCAAAAAAAAGCGTTGTAAGGTGCTCGAAAGGACGACTGCGAGTCAAGCTATATCGGAATTAGAAGATAAAACTAGTATAATCTATAAGTTTATTATTTTTATTAAAGGTTAATTTACTTAACTTTGATTTTTAAAGATAACGAAGGAAAATTTTGGTTCTGTTCGTTTACTTGTTTTATAAACCAGCACTAACATTTAAAACTAAAAAACAAGCCTCAGTTTTGGTTTAAAAACAACGTTTTCTTCAAAATACATATTGAAAAATAGAGTTATCTTTTTTTTATTGTCTCAATTCTTAATAACGGGTTCGGAAAATGGACTTTATATCGTTAAAAGTGGTTTCTATGAGCTTGACCGCCGCTGAGTGTGAGTGATACGGACTTCATTTTAAATCTTATATTACGGATGACCCAACATTGGGACCTAGTTATTTTTTTTTGAAATTTATAAAATAAAAATACTAAAATATAAGTAAAATGATTTTGTTTGAAATTTAATATGGAGAACTACTTAAGATAATAGACTAGTTATGCTTGAAACACTGTCATAATACGGGTATCAAATATTTACTGAGAAGATTACTATAATATAACAAATGAAAATAAAAAAAAATCGATGTAGTGATAAATAATACTTATCTCAAAAGCGACTTACTCAAGAAAATGCTATTGAAATCGGGCGAAGGTATTCTGTGGGTTATTAATTAAATGAGAGGAGAGAATTTAAAATAAGCAAACTTTTATTTTAAAGTTGAAATAAACATATCATCTAATATTTAGATATCTGATGAAAATTTTGATTTGTTATAAAAGGAAAACTACTGATTCGATTTCGACAAAATTTAAATAGGACCACTTCGGCCCATTAAGCTATGGAATAAAAAAGAATTTTGAAAATGGGAAATATCGGTAAACATACATGAATAGAAAAAACATACGTCGCCGTGGAACATATAGCTTCCTCCTTTTCGATTTTGAAGTCGGTTAAAAAGTACAATATTACAAATTACATACATATTACAATAATTAGTCAAAAAGTCCTAACTATCAACTGATCTTAAAGAAACAGAAATCAGAAACGAAAACCTGTTTAAGTTTAGTTTGAGAAGTGCTTAACTTTTAATTTTCAATTCAGAAACCGTGTGTCAGTCAAGTATAGAGAAAAGTACGCCTTGTTTAATACAGAACAAACTTAAATTTATAAATTTATACAAAGTTAAATTTATTAAACATATAAATGTTTAATAAATTTAACTATATATATGACGCATCAACTTTACGAAGATCGTTTGATTTAGTTTCTTTTATTTGAATTGCTAGTTACTCGATTACTTAATTACTCGATTGTAGAGAGAGCGTGATCATTGATACTTTTAATTTTATTAGAGTGGTGACACTGTCTTTGACAGTTCGTTAACAAAAAGCAATTTGCCGCCATTTTGGCAGACATTCTGTTTCCAATCGCCGCGGTGTAAAGACATCCGACGACATCACGCTCGTCTCGTTATATTTTCGTATGAAAAGTGATAAAATGGAACAAATCCACGTCGGTATACACGCCTGCAGTGTTATTTTAAAGATAGTCCTCCGACATGGACGATCTATTTGGGCTTCGTAATAGCCCATTCGGACTACCCTCCGACATATATTTTAAAATCAAAATCAGCTAAATCACCGTTAATAAGTTTTGGTTAGTTTCGTTTGTCTCTCTAAAACTCGTGAACAGCGATTTAGCTGATTTTGGTTATAAAATGTTTGTCGTTGTCCAGAGAAGATTTAAGCAGTGAGAGGTGACAGTAAGTACACCGGGTACATTTAGTAAATAATAAATACTAGACATCATATACATTGCTCAGATTCCAAAATAAGTAGCTTAACCTTCGTTGTTTTAGATACTCCATAATACAGGGGGTATTTTGGAGTATCTAAAATAACGAAGGTTCCCCATTGATCCAACCGGAAATCGAATCCGCGACGAGATGACGAGACCTTGAAACCGGCGTACGTATCACTCGGCTCAGAGCTCTTCAAAATATATCGTTTTGTTTTTAATGTGTGCTTTATTTAGGAATGAAACAGGACAAATAGTAGAAAAACATGTTGTATTTATCATAAACTAGCTCACCCGGCGAACTTCGTACACAGATAGCCTGTGACTTCGTTCTGCCGTATAACCTATGATACTAATATGTCTAGATACGTAATACATACCAAAAAAGTAAAGCTACTAGAACTAAGACATTGATCTTACTTGAGTCGTTCTTCAACCCAATACTCATTCAACTCCCGCGCAGAAAGTAAACAACATTGCTTCGCAAAAACGAAAGAAGAAGAAGAGACAGTGAAAAAATACGATTTTCCTTTTCAAATACATATGAAGGAATTTTACGTTTTACACTTAAATCATTATCAATTTTGACAATAAACAGTTACTTTGTTGCCGTAAATAAAAATATTTAAATAACACAAATAAAATTTTGTCATTTTGTCATCAGGTTTGCCACATCCATTGACATTCTATTTTCACAACTATTCGGGAGCTATTTTACGTTGTTATAAATTATCTAAATAGCTTTTTTTAAAGTAATATTCCTTTTAATTTTATTATTGAAAATGATAAATTTTAATTAAATTTATGTATATTGTTAACTTTTATAACTGCCGTTAAGGCTTTATACTAAAATGAAGAATCTCTGTTTATATTCGTACTCATAGTTACTGCTCAAAAGGATGTTCAAAATTATTAACTATCTACATACAGTTGATTAACACCCAGTTTCTGAATTAAGAATTTAAAGTTATACACGTCTCAAACTCTACTTAAACAGGTTTTCGTTTCTGATTTTTGTTTTTTAATAATCAATGTGATAGCAGTTTGATAAAACTAGGCCTTCTTGAATAATCAGCTGAAATGTTTTACTTTCTCAATTTTAATACCGGCCGTTTGAGAAAATAAGTCATTCAATCTACAGGCTAGTAAGTGAGACAATTGATTAAATATGATAACGTATTGCCTGGAATAAAAACTCAAAAAGTATTTTAATATAAATTATTTTATTATTATTAGATAACATCAAATGCATTGCTCAGATTCCAAGATGCAAATAAAGCATTACATTATTGATACGACTGAATATCGAAGCCAGGACCTCAGAGATGGCGACACCTTGAAACCGGCATGCGAACTACTCGGTTCCGGAGGTAATTTTTACAATAGGGTAGTTTCGGTAGTGAAAAAAAGTCGCGAAATTAGACAAAAATCAAAATTTTAATCGTAAAAACAGAAATTATGATTTAAAGTCGTGATTTTCGTCTGTATGTCACGTGACTTGAAACACAACCCGCTAATGTGTGACGTCACTATGGAGACAGCTATCAGATTAGTCATTAAGATAAAATTCCTAGATGGCGCTGTTCCTTATTTATATCTCTTCATCGGTCGTCAGATGCCAATTTTCATGTTTTATTAACATCTTTTAATCTTTGACTCTATGCATGTTTTGTGTACATTTCAGAATGACGGATAGCGTTTTCGCGGGTATAAAAAAAGTTTCAGTTTTTAATTAATTTTAAGGCGAAAAAACGTGTTTATTTTATGGAAATATTTGTTTAATGTGTTTTTTTTTTTGTTAAAATTAACAGTTACAAGTATCAAGTAATATTTCAAACAGAGTAGAATTTAATTCATTTAATTTTAGACTTTTTATTATTAAAGAATATAAAAAGAGCCGGATATTATTAATATTTGAATTCACAATATTACATTTATTGATATTTCTATTAAAAAGTTATGCTTATAAATTTCGTAATAAAATAGGATATTAAAAATTGTGGTCATACTT